TTTGGCAGCCCATGGCATTTTCAATATTCTTTTCCAACACCATAACTCAAATGCATCAATTCTTCTATGATCTTCCTTATTCACTGTCCAACTTTCACATGCCTATGAGGTTATTGGAAATACCATGGCTTGGGTCAGATGCATCTTTGTTCTAAGCTGACATCTTTGCTCAACACTTTAAAAGGGTCTTGGACATCGGTTGCTATAAGTCAACACCTACTCAATGGAACCTAACAACAACAGTAACAATAAATAAATGTCAAGATTTCCATGTTCATGGGTTGGAAGAATAAATGTTGTTAAAAGACTCCTTAAATTGACTTTTTTTTTTTTTTTTGCGGACTTGAAAATTGATCTTAAAATTCAGTTAAGAATGCAAAAGACCCAGGATAACCAAACAATTGAAAAAGAAGTGGAGAACTCACACTTCTCAGATTCAAAACTTCTACAAAGCCCAGCTAATCTAGACTGTGTGTGTGCTACTGGCACAAGGATAAACATATATGGCAATGAAATAAACTTGGGAATCCAGAAACAAGCCCTTAAACTTATAGTCAATGATTTTGAACAAAAATACAGAGATACTTCAATGGGAGAAAGAGTCTTTTCAACAAAGACACTAGGACAACAGGATACTGTTGTTAAGTGCCATCAAATTGGTTCAGACCCATAGTGACACTGTATAGTGTTTCTGAGGAGCAGCTGGTGAACTTGAACCGTCGTCTTTGTGATTCAAACTGACCTTGCAGTCGAGCGCATTAACCCACAGCACCATACCAGGACTCCAGGATAGCCAATGCAAAAGAATGAAGTTGGACCCCTACATTGTGCCATATACAAAAATTAACTCAAACTGGATCAAAAACCTCAATTTAAAAACTAAAACTAACAAATTCTTAGAACCACTTCTCATCTTCTAGGATGGCTACAAAAAAGCAGCATGGTAAATGTTATCAAGAACATGGAGAAAATGGAGCCTTCATACATGCTTGTGGCTATATAAAATGGTGCAGCCACTATGGAAACCAGGTTGTTGTTGTTGAGTGCCATGGAGTTGGTTCTGATGCATAGTGACTCTGTGTACAATAGAACGAAACACTGCCCAGTCCTGCACCAGGCTCACAACCGCTGCTACACATGAGCATACTGTTGCTGTCATTGTGCCAATCCATCTTGTTGAGAGGTCTCCTTTTTTGGAGTCCCTCCACTTTACCAAACAGGATGTCCTTCTCCATTGACTGGTCCCTCCTGAAAACATTTCAAAGTATAAGAGACAAAGTCTGGCCACCTTGGCTTCTAAGGAGAATTCTGGTTGTACTTCCAACACAGATATATTTGCTCTTTTGGCAGTCCACTATACCTTTAAATATTCTCCTGAAGCACCATAATTCAAATGCATCAACTCTTCTACGTTACTTTCTTCTTCCTTATTCATTGTTCAACTTCCATATGCATATAAGGCTATTGAAAATACCATGGCTTGGGTCAGGTGCACCTTGGTCATCAAACTGACATCTTTACTTTTGAAAACAAGTAGTTCCTCAAAAAGTTAAATATAGAGTTAGCATATGAATCAGTAACTACACTTGTAGGTATAGTTCAAGAGAACTGAAAATTTGTAAATAAATGTTTATAGCAGCATTATCTTTAACAACCAAAAAAGTTAAAAACAATCCAAATTTCCATCAACTGGTGAATGTTTAAGGAGCCTAATGGCTCAGTGGTGAAGTGTTTAGCTGCTGACCAAAAGGTTGGCAGTTTGAACCCACCAGCTGCTCTTCAGAGAAAGATGTGGCAGTCTGCTCCCTGAAAGACTGTTTTTGCTGTTGCTGTTAAGCGCTGTCAAGTTGGTTCCATCTCACAGAGACCCTTTATAGGGTTCCTGAGGAGCAGCTGGTGAGTTTGAATTGCCAATCTTACAGTTCAAACCCACCTTGTCCTACAGGGCCACACTGGACTCCTTAAAGATTACAACCTTAGAAACCCCATAGCACATTTCTATTCTGCCCTGCAGGGTCACTATGAGTCAGAATCAACTTGACAACAGTGTTTTTTTTTTTAAGTTGGTAAATGAATAAATAAAATACTGTACACATGCAATCGAGTATTATGTAGCCACATGCTCCAACATGGATGAACCTGGAAAATGTTATGCAACAAGCCAGACACAGACGGCCACAGTTTATCATTCCATTTATATACAATGTGCAGAATAAACGAATGAAAAGATGAGTGGTTACCTGAGGCTGAGAGAAAGGAGGATTGGGGAACCCACTGTTGTAGAGTTGATTCAGCCTCATGTTGAGTCTAGTGGACAGACTAGAACAGCAACATAGGGCTTCCCAGGCTGCAAATACATACTGAAGCAGACCTCCAGTTTTCTCCCCTGGTGGATTCAAACTGCCAACCTTTTGGTGAACTGCTGAGACTTAACCACTAAGCCACCAGTGGCTGCTAGTAGGTGGTGGGGGTGTGCCATGGAGTGGGTTCAGACTCATAGCCACCCTACGTAGGGTTTCCAAGGCTGTAAATCTTTACGTGAGCAGAAAGCTTCTTCTTTCTCCTGCGGAACAGCTGGTAGTTTCAAACTGCAGACCTTGACGTTAGCAGCCTAACATGTAACCAAGGTAGTTCCTCAAAAACTTAGTCAGGGTTTGGAATGATGAAAATGTTCTAGAATTAGTGGGGATGGTGCACAACCTTTGCAAACTTACTAAAACCCACTGAATTGTACACTTTAAATGGACGAATTTTATAATTTGTGAATTGTGTGTAGTTCAATTAAAATAGTAAAAAAACAAACAAACTGTAAATTGGGAACTAATAAATGTTTACTTTCTGTTTCATAATAAGAAAGTAGCATATACTCATTGTAAGAAAAACTAAAGCACTCCCTTCTTAAAATAATAGCCACTCTTAGATAACTGAGCGGCGGGTATCCGAGTGTTACGGAGTAAGGATTACGCTCTAGAGAAGTTCTGAGCACGGAAGGAAGCTATGTCCCCATCCTCCATCCCCACCCATCCAACACAAATATATTCGCTTGCTGGATGTTCCCGCCGCCGTCTGATAAGAGTAGATGGTAGCGGGGATGTAGAAGGATAGAAGTAAAGTGAGAACTTCGGACATACAGTGGGAGCGGGACGCGAGGGGCGTGAGCGGGACGTTGGGGAGGGACGTGGACGTGTAAGGGAGGGGTGCTCCCTCCAAGCGTCGAGTCCAGACGTGGGAATTCGGGCCTGGAGGACGCAGAGGCGGGCCTTGGGGACTAAGGGGTGGGGCGTGCGGGAGGAGGGC